CCGGTCAGGTTTGCACCAACCTGGATTGGATTAATGGCGTTTTGTGCTCTCCTATTGGTAGAGCGGGTGACGTCAACCAATAGGAAAAATTAATCCAACCAAGGTTGATGCAAACTCGATCGGCCCGAAAACGCTATATGTTTTTGGTCGCGGTCTATTTGCTCTCTTAAGGTACATTCATATGCAACCGTCAAGTGTCAAACAGCGGAAGCAACGACCAATCAACGAGGCGATATGAGTAGTGGCATAAAAAATATTTCTTTTTGCAGTTTATGTTATTGCTCATATCGCCTGGCTAATTGGTTGCTGCTTCTGCTGCTTGACACTTGTGTGCGAATGCACCTTTATGGCCGCAGCATAGACTTTTGCATAACGCATAACGCACAGTGCATAAGCGAATCAACTAATCAAAAGCTTTCCTTTCCTCTCATTCCATGGAAAAGAATAATTTCGATTGATTGATTCCCTTATGCGCTATGCATTATACGTTATGCAAGAGTCTGTGATGAGGCCATTAGGTTGTGTTCCAAAATTCACTGCCAGTGGATGCATTCAGTACTACAACCGCTCACTGAGCGCTCAGTGAGCTCTTGGATCTGATTGGCATATTCCGTTAGATCCAAAAATATAGACCAAATAAATAAAATGACAAATTTAGAGTCTGTTACACTTCAATTATTTACTAATAGCGTTTTCGGCCCAGCCGGGTTTGCACCAACCTGGACTGTATTAATGGCGTTTTGCGCTCTCCTGTTGGTAGAGCGCGTGACGTCAACCGGGTGGTATCCAGTTGGAAACGGTTCAATTGGACACGAACCACCCACAGCGCTTGAGACTACAAAGCTCCTAAGCACCGGTCGCTGTGATTAGTGGTGTCCAATCGAGCCGTGATCAATCGGGATAACCCTTGGAAAATACATGACAGATTTTTTAAAATTATACACTATCCTTGTTATTAGCAGAGTGTTAAATAAGGTTAACATTATTTTTCATGCGTATTAAGCGTGTAACAAAAGGCAATCATACGTTTATATGTGTGTATTTAAATATAAACATTTATATTAAAATACAGGGTTGAGAAAGTTACTTTAGAAGTTATTTATAAGTTACTTTTTAGATGACCTTATATGAGTTTGTTATAGAAATTGAGCACAAAAAGTAATACAAAATTGGAGTAAATAATAAAATATAATATTCGAGATGATGTTCTGTATAAAAAGTAAAATATCCGAATTTATTTGTACTCAATTTCTACATAATAAAAAGTAACTTATAAATATTGCTTGTAAAATAACTTTTCCAACCCTGTTAAAATATTTAAACATAATCTGCTGTTACGTCCGAGGTTCCGCACGCATGGAACCTGAGGGGGTGAACGTAACGGGGTCGGGGGTACTTGTCTACCGTCGTTGTCGGATCCTAGCTCCGGACCGCAAGGGAGCGAGGCGGGAGAACCGACTCGGATGGGAGGCACTTCGCTTCGTCCTTAGGTTCTCGAAGAGCCGGGG